CCGCTCGAACTGTGTGGTTGTTGATTGCTTTTAAATTCTTTTGTAGTTGCTTGTTTGTTGTTTCTCCCCTGTCTGTATTCGCTTCCTTTGATTTGTGAGCCGCCCTGAGTCCCTCCGGGAATAGGGCGGCATATAAATGCAATAAATCCAAATTCAAATCCAAATCCACACACACACACACAAAAAACAACAACTGTGTGTACGTGTGTTTGTTCCAGCATAACTCTGGAATGCCTTGAGCAATGTCAACCAAACTTGGTACACAGATGACTTACTCTTTGGAAAAAAATACTGTGGGGGTAAGACAGCCCTTGGGGTGGGGGAGTGTTCTGTTAAGATACAGCCTGTTGTGCCTTAAAATGACTTCTACTGTACAACACAGTGGAGTTGCCATGGTAACGGCTTCACAGTACTCCACCAGGGGGCTCCCTCTGGTAAGGGGGAAAATCCAACATTTGGTAATTAGAAATTACATTTTGTCTGGATATTTCCCCCCTATAAATAAATATCTGGACAACGCCGTCTAGTACACAAATAAATAACAAAGTTGTGCTACAGGTATCCTATACACACATGCAACATGATTTTAAGTAAATGTTATTTTCTTGTGAGACACTATGGGAAGGTTGAATTCAGATTATGTCAGAAGAGACAAGAGAGCCCAGGTATAGGAAATACATAGGAAAATGTGTTACAAAGAGATTCTATCTTAACTGACTCATTATAAATAAGGCTGGAAATTTACTATTTTCAAGATTATGTTTCTAGCCCTAACTATCAATAAGGATAACTTTCAGAAATCCCTGTGGTTTTCACTCTATATTGGCTAATTATGTAAGGCATCACTAAAGAAGCCTGTTTTTTCCCCCCAGGTTTCTGTGCAAATCTAAAAAAGAAGACATGAATGCTTGGATGCATAGCTTTTGCGTCAAGGACTTAAAGCCGCCACATCTTTTTTTTCCAGGCATACATAGAAGACTGAGGGGGAAAATGAACTGATTTAACAAATAGCAGAGAGTTGTTGTGCTCATGAAAGATCAGACTCAAGTTTTTCCCCCCAAAATAATGATCAGCTATAAAACCCAATTCTCACATAGGCACAAGCAAACAGTTTCTGTTACTGAAACAGAGCCTAGTAAAAAAACTGCTTGCATCACTTACCCCCAAATGAACGGATTCTAGTTTGTTATACTGCATGAGTAGAAGAGGTGAAGCTTTATTTTCTACTAGCTGATAACCCGGGGTTATCCGGGTATTTATTTATAGGAGGAAAATGTCCGGATTAAATGTACTTTCTAATGTTGGATTTTACCCCTTACCAGAGGGAGTCCCCTTGTGGTGTACTGTGAAGCCTTTACCATGGCAACTCTACTTCGCTGTACAGTAGAAGCCATTTTACAGCAGCACAGTAGAATTTTAAGGCACAACAAGCTGCATCTTAGCAGAACACATACTCCAAGGGGTGTTAGGGATATCTTATCCCCACGGTATTTTTTTCCAGAGAGTAAGTCATCTGTGTACCAAGTTGGCTTTAAATTGCTCGAGGCGTTCCAGAGTTATGCTGGAACACACACACACAGCTATTTTTATACATATAGATAAGTAGAAGTTGTATTTGATAGACAGCAGAATTCAATGGAATTATTTCATATTGACATTACAATAAATCTTTTGTGTCCTTTGGAAATCTCGGCAGCCATTTTACTAGCTGATCAACAGAAGCCTGACAGTGGTCCTAATAACAATTTTACCTTATTATCTATACATTCCTTTATTCATGCCAGTGTTAGAACATACTATCGTCTATTGAAATATTCTGAATATAGGTAGTCATTACTTAGCAATTGACTTGTACAGTGACCATTCAGAGTTACAACAGTGGTGAAAAAAATCACTTCTTGCATTTACAACCTTCGCAGGACTTTAAAGCAAAGGGAAATAGAAGGAAGAACATAAACACAGTCACAATTTCACTTAGTGACTATTGCGTTTAACAAACAAGTTCCCGTCTCAGTTATGATTAGTAAACAAGGACTATCTGCTATGCTTAAAAAAAACACTGAAAGATCTTTTACCAGCAAGCCTTTCAGCACGTCTACCAATCACTCTTTTGTAATTGAAGAAATCTTCTTAATAGTTCCTGTAAGAAAGAGTGCTTCTAGACAAGGCTTTTATGTGCAGATCCACTGACTCATAAATGGAATTTAATGCAATGCTCCAAATGATGTTTTCCATTTTTAATCCTCTTGTGTTTTTCCACTACTTATTTCATCCTTTTTTCCCCTTATGATTGAAATCCATTAAGGAGTACATTTTGGAATAGCTGCATATCTTATGCTTAGTAGCGTTAGCAATTCTCCATTTGGTAACATGTTTTTCTCCATTTGGAAAGAACTTGTTTTGTTTATTCTGCTGAGAGGAGGCAAAATAATCAAGCGGCAGCTGAGAAGGAATTTCTCAGCATCCAGGAGCATGATTTATCAAGCCACAAAAATTATACGAAATATTGAAAACTGTATGGTACACTACCTGCAGAGATTTCTATCTAGTATAGTGTTGTTTTTTAAAACTAAAAGGACCATTTCCTTCAAATGGTAAAGATAAAGGTTCCCCTCATACATATGTGCTAGTAGTTCCCGACTCTAGGGGGCGGTGCTCATCTCCGTTTCAAAGCCAAAGAGCTAGCGCTGTCCAAAGACGTCTCCGTGGTCATATGGCTGGCATGACTAAACGCCAAAACCGCATGGAATGCTGTTACCTTCCCACCAAAGTGGTTCCTATTTTTCTACTTAAATTTTTACATGCTTTCGAATTGCTAGGTTGGCAGAAGCTGGGACAAGTAACAGGAGCTCACTCCATTATGCGGCACTAGGGATTCGAACACTTAACTGCCGACCTTTCTGATCGACAAGCGCACCAGCATGCCTACTGTCCCTGTCCTACTGTCCCCATTGATATGTACACATTTTATGTGTTCATGGCCATGTTACACTTATTTATATCATCTATTTGTACGAATCTCATGCGATAATGTCCATGTCTATACTAATACTTGTTACCTTGTACGTGTTGACAAACAAACAAACAAAATAAGCTGAGTGTTTTAGCCACCGGATTCCCCAAATGACATAGCTCTAAAGATGGTCTAAATTTCCTTTTCTCAGGACAATATTTGTAAACATAGACCAAGAAAAACATGTCTGTTCCTATCAAGGGGAGGTACTGAAATGTTTATTGATATATTGACACAGATACTGCGATGCTATAAAGGCCTAAGTTAACGGTTAAGCTGAAATTTGAGAAACCAGTGTTTTTCAACTTGTCCAACTTGAGGAGTGAGTGTCGGATATGTAAGACTGGGTTTAGGATAGCCAAGAGTTTTATTTTTTGCTTCATTTCAGCAGGGCCTAAGGATTCCATAACCACATCTAAAGAACCCGAATCATCCAAATTATTATCCAAAT